TATATATATGTTTCAGGGAAGAAGACATTATGGGATTTGTTCAGAGATTTTAGCTCTGATATAAACTTTTGCTTATGAATGAAAAATTTTGCATATATAATAACAAAATTAAYCATGTGTTCAAAATTACTGTTCAGCATTACTGTAATAGCAAATAATGTCTTTGAGTTTTAATGAGAATACAATTTTAGTTGCATGTATAAAGTGAGACTCTAGGTTGCTCCAAAAATTTTTTAGTTATGTCACAGCTGAAAATTAAATGTGAATTTTAAAGTTTCCTTACCTCCACCGATCCTGCAACGTTTAACTCATTGGCCACGCCTTTCGTGACGACCAGGAAAAAGAAACGGCCTAACACCATAAAAGGAAAATACTCACGCATGCGCAGTAACACTAGTTTTGTTTGAAGTGAATTGCTGCCAGGAACTGCCCTACAAGCTGCAAAGTCGCCAATCATTAGGTTTTTACATATATTTTGTCAGTTTCCTTCATAGTYTTTCGTTCATCTATGCATCGTAGAGACGATGTTAGGCCACCATTTTCAAAATGTCGACAAGTCGCAACAACTGGTCAACTATGTGGAGGATTACCTGGAATGTGTGGAGTCCCTGCCTTTGGACATACAAAGAAATGTTTCTCTGCTCCGAGAAATCGATGCAAAGTATCAAGGTATTGTGTTTTAATACTGCTGCGCGTGTGGACATGTTAAACACTGTCAGCAGTATGTTGTGTGTCGCTGAAATGGAGGAGCATGCGTCAACCTTGTGTTAKCATTTTGTGAGAAGCTAATACTTTCTCTCTCGAATATGTTTGTTTAAGAAGTGGGTGAACACACGACAAACTAGTACTGAAGAAAAACTCAGAAATCCGCCGGTTAATATAACCCGGACGCGATTTATCCAGTTTTAGTGTGCTGCCCCAATCTCTGTTAAATATTTACAACATTTTAGTATTTGTGAGACACGGCTTACATGCATGCACATTATGACATGTTACGACTGGTTYTTTCTAATAACATATTCACTAGAAAACTCGGCGCAAGTAATGGATAAAAACAAAAAGKGTATCAAATAAATCTCATGTTTGATAGTAGAGTGGTCTGCCACTTTACTCTGTGAGAAGGAGCCAGCAGAACATCGCTACACAGCGACAGAAACTCGATGTTTATTTGAATAAAACGCTGGTTGGATGTTTAGTTTAGTGCCGAAACTTAAAACATACTCTGCTTGTGTWCACAGCATTGATAAATAATTGAAAATTTATGTGAAACGTTGTGTAAAGTGTGAGTGTATTAAACATCGCTTTTTCACCACCTAATTTGGTGCGGATTCCACACACGGAGGTGTGGTTTGTGTTTGGTTTGCTCCGGGACAATAAGCTTACAACTTGTATTAGTTACAAGACAAGACGAAGTATTAAGGTAGCCTCTTTGCGTCTTAGACTTTGAAAACAAAAGCCCAAAACAACAAGAAGTAAATTTATCCGATCGTGTTGGTGCCGGGGGGCAGCCAGCCAGCAGCCAGCTTGTATTAGGGGAAAAGAAGCCCCCAAGCAGCGCGAGCTGGAAACATGACATGGACACAAACTTTGAAGTCGGATTTTAAAATATTATGGGTTTAAACACTCAGCACTCATACTCCTGTAGTAGTGTCAGAGWGGGAATAGCCCCTACATTCTGATAAACATCCCCCTACTACATCTGAGTGACGTCACTTCCTGTGGGCAGGACCAGCCTGCGGTTCCGCCCTCTTCTTCTGCACACACTTCTGCACTGCTAGCCTGGCCCTTGCCTTCCTATGCAGCTCCGCTCAATTCTAGTTCCCCTTCTCTGCTCCGTCTGGGACTTCTCCCATTGAGATGGATTTCTCTGGCAGATTTTTAGCCGGGCCAATCAGAGAACAGAACGTCAATTTTCTGTGCAGAGTCTGCTTGTAGTTTATTTTACCTGGGCCAATCAGCAAACAGAAGTAGCCTGTGTGCATGTGGATAAATCCAGAGAAAACCCATGTAAAGTTGTGTTTTGGGGGCAGCTGCATCACAGTAACCCCTCACATTGGGTACTGTATGGACCTTTTAGAACTTGCCCCACTTCACTAATTATACAGATACTGACCTGAAGTATGGTGTGTAGACCATCACCAACTAATCTTAAAACAAAAATATAAACAGTGGCGGCTGGTGGATTTTTCTCCAGGGGGGGCTACAACTTCAAAATAGACGTATCCCAAAAAGTAATCACAAATGTACTAAGTTGTTTCACGGCAGTGTATTTATTAAATAAATGGAAATAATAAAACAGCATTACAATTAGGGCTGCCACGATTAGTCAACTAGTCGACTACTTGTTTTATGATAACATAAATTTACGCGACTCACCTTCTGTTTTGTACTACAAAAATATTAACATGGTTGTCAGTCAATTGTATTATCAAAAACATCTATAAATTTTTTAGACCTTTCCAGTGTTTCCCCTAGAGTACAGGCCTTGGGAGGGCTGCTTATGAAAACAG